CCGCCGCGGCTCGCATCGTCTCGTTCGTCGTTTAAATACGTTATAAAAACGAAAAACCCCTTTTTTTTTATTGTCGATATCTACGTAAAAATGTCTCATCTTTCGATCTAGACTATCAAAAAAATTCCAAAAGTTGAAGATCATGGAGATAAAACGTGTTTTTCAAACAAGTGCATTTTTCGAGGTTATGGGAGCAAATTTTTAAAAAACTGATGCCACCACTAGAAAGCTGATGAAAAAATACGTAAGAATATGTTTTTAGATAATTTTTTTATCAAAGTTTTGACACCGAAACGACGAGTTGAAAACGTTGTGTTTGACGCCCGCGCGGGCCGTCCACTGCAGCGCTGGGACAGTTGACGTGATTCTCCCCATATATATAAAGCACATACTATAGTTATGTACGTGACTTTCTACAGTACTTTTGGGAAGCTTAGTGTCAAGATGTTAAAAAAAATGTAATTTTCATTTCAAGTACGTCTTATACCCTGTTGATAATGACGCTATTTTATCAGTGCGTTCCAGAAGCCTTAGTTTTGGAGTCTTAAATGATACATTCTTGTAAGTCACTGTGAAGCACATGGACATTGCTACTGTTCCATGAATGCGTTATAGAGCATTAAGAGTCCAGGTACCGGAAAATGTAATCTTGCTGCACTTAGACAGCAATAAATCTGTTTCTTAAGTGTACTCAATTGTATTCAGGCACCAAAACTCCGATGAACTCAGTCCAATCTTACTACTAAACGCTTAATTGATTTGGCCTCACGTTAGAAACACAACTATCCATTAAGTGTATTAAGACGTTAAATTTAGTGTAATCCAACTCTGAGTATTCTAACTCCCCGGTACGCACTCGAGGGGCACTGTGATTAATTAACTGGTGCACTGTAACATAAAATATCATATAATTTGACACCTAAACTCCAACTTCTTAGAACCTACTTAAAGAATCGCATTATTATGTTCGTGTTGTACGTACACCGTATCATAAGGTTTTTAAAAACAATAAGCTTATAGGGGCATTTTAACGAGACCACTTCAAAAATCCCCTTGCAGTACACAAAATAATTCATAGTTACTTTATGTAGAATCATAAAAACTAAAAAGTTTTTGCTGATTAATCGGTGTTACTAAAAAATAATGTCAGAGCTTAAAAAAATAATTAAAAATTTTGAAAAGTATAGAAATAGTTGTGGTCAACTTTAATAAACCTTTTCGTTTAAACAAGTATCGGCTTTAACAAAAAAAGAGTAAAAATTTGGATTATAAAAGGAACTTTTTTTTTCGTTATCTTATTTAACTCAAAAATAGTCTTACGAAAAACTTACTTATAGTATTAAGTCTCGTTTTAACAGAAAAACGTTTTTTTTCAACATAGATCGAATCATCTCTATTACAGTCTCATAGATTAAAGATCATTCTACAACTGAAATGTATTATTTTATGCAAAATCATCAGAAAACTTTTTATTTTAAATTTCAGCGAGTTACTTTCTTACATAATACAAAATTGTCTGAAAATTTTAATGTCAATGCCTTTTTATTTTTATTTTAAATACTTTATTATCATTACTATTCCAGGTTGGAAGTAATAGTTTATCTGCATGGACTTTTTAAGTTAACGTGTATGTAAAAAACGTAAAATCAATAATGACTGATTGGGATAAAGAGAGCAAGGGTCCTGTTCCTCCCCGTTGGTTACATTGCCCACGTAAATCAATTAAACTGATTCATGATAAATTTTTGGCTTTTAAGACTCCACTGTCCTCAAAATATAACGATCAAGTATCCGAGGAGTGTCGTTTTACGGTAGCAATGCTGTTAGCTTTATTAAAAAGTGAGCGGCTTAAGCTTGGACTTTGGATTGACTTGACTAATACTTCAAGGTTTTACGATAAAAAAGAAGTGGAAAAAAATGGTGTTCGGTACTTAAAACTGCAATGTAGAGGTTACGGAGAACCACCTTCACGTGATCAAACAAAAACTTTTGTGCAAGTTTGTAAAAATTTTATTGCTCATAACCCGTTAGAAATAATTGGTGTTCATTGCACACATGGATTTAATAGAACTGGATTCCTTATTGTCAGTTATCTCGTAGAAACTGACGAATGCAGTCTCGATGCATCTTTAGTAAAGTTCTCTGAGTCCAGACCACCAGGAATATATAAAAATGATTATATCAGAGAACTGTACCTTCGATATGATGATATTGAAGATGCTCCTGATCCACATCCTCGTCCTGCATGGTGTTTGGAATATGATGATTCTAATGCAGATGATCAAAATGATTCTACAAGTGAAAACACTACTTCTTTAGAACCTGCTTTTAAAAAGCGCCGAACAGAAAACTTCAACAAGAATCCAGTTTTTATGGCTGGTATACCAGGAGTCAAACCCATCTTAGATTTTCAAAAAGCACATGTTATTCAACGTCGAGTTCAAGTTATTTGTGAATGGAAAAGTACCGGTTTTCCGGGCTCGCAACCAGTCACTTTAGATTTTGATAATTTACGTTTACTTCACGAGAAACCTTATAAAGTATCATGGAAAGCTGATGGCACTAGGTATATGATGTTTGTTTGTGAAGATGGTCAAGTTTATTTCATCGATCGTGACAATAGTATTTTCGAAGTTGATGGATTGACTTTCCCTCATGTTAGAGATCGTATGAGGATGCTTAAAGATACTCTTCTAGATGGAGTAAGTTTTTTTTCACTATAAAATATTAAAAAATATTAATTGATAAAGAAAAATAAGTATTAAAAAAGGGTGGTGTATTTATAAAACTACTCACTTTAGTAAGAAAACTATTTTACATGTATGATTTTTGAAGCCCAATATTAATTATTTTTGTATCCCAATATTATTTTAGAATTTTGTTTAATAATACATTCTAAGAGAAATTATGTAGGGTGTGACAATCATCTTAAGCACATCCTGGCTTATTTTAAAAATGAGTGCCTTCTGTTCGTGTGGTTGAGTGTCTCAGGGTGTACGTACTTTTTGGCATGTACGCACTGCAGATTTTGTAGTGACTATACACATAAATAAAAAACGATGACAATGATTTGTTTTAATACAACGTACAGGTCTAGAAAATTTAGAATCATTAGTATTTTTATAAGCTGTCGTATATCGATGAGTAAGCATTGATGCAAGTAATTTAATCTATCGACATTTGCCATTTAACACGAGTTTGCCTAGGCAACTTATTTTTTCAGTTCAAACTACTAATTTGTAGAAAAATTTTCATACGAAAAAATTAAAAAAAAGTGCCACCTCAACCAAGCCTCGAATCTGAACCTCATTCTTGCTGGGAAATTGAGTAACCAATTTTTCCACCGATATCTCAGTGACTCCCTCTTCTCCATTGCTACATTTAGAGTTTTGGCGATTTTTGAGTCCACGCATGCTCATTGATATGCACTACATTAAAAAATAATCTAGTTTGATCGATAGGTAAATATTAATGCGAGTAATTAAATTTATCGACATTTTCCATCCAATACGAGTTTGACTGGGCAACTCATTCTTTCAGTTAAAACTACTAATTTGTAAAAAATTGTCATACGCAGCAATTGAGGAAAGAGAGTCACTGAGACCGTATCCAAATTGGTTACGCGCTTTATTAGTGAGAAAGAGATCCAGTTTCATTTCAATTTTTTCACAAATAAATAGTTTGAACTGAAAAAATAAGTTGCCTAGCCAAACTAATATTGGATGCAAAATATCAATTGATTCAGTTACTCGCCTTAATGATTTTAATAACCAAAGTTAAGCAAATAAAACGTTTTTTAAATTTTTTCCGTGTACGGTTAGAAATTGGTAAAATATTTAACCATGCAACAGTTAACCGATTTTGATGAACACTTAAAATTAAACTGTAGGGGTTCTAACACTTCCAGCTCCCACCTAGGCGTTGGTGGGGTAAGTGACCTATGGGGTACTGCGTCGAGGAGAGGTAATGGGAAGTTCTCATCAGTGGATGTCTCTTTTTTCTTTTATTATTTAAGGTCTCAGTGTAATCTTTCCTTTTTTTTCTTTTCGAAAGCGGACGTATCGAGTTTTTAGAAAAAAAATGTATGCCACTTATTTACGAAAAGTGGATCGCATGTATCTTTCAACTGATCAACGCTAGCTTACTCGATGCAGCATTTTGTCAAATAATAGAGATATTATTTTTTATCCACACGAATGCGTTAGCTGTGGGTGACGGCTTTTTGCTTCTCGTTTAGGCGTATAATATACCAGTGTAGCTTTCTTTTTAAGAGCAGGGGTATCAAGTAATGCGAGTTGTCAGAGAAAATATGTATACTATTTTATAACCAAAATAGATGGCGTATCTCTTTTAATTGCTCAACGCTTGTTCACACATTTTTGACACAGTGCCTTGCCAATGAATATAACTATTATTTTTTATTTACCATACATGTATGCATTAGCCGTGACTGCTGATACATCGCTCCCTACTTAAGCGTAAAATGTACTAGCGTAACATTTTTTTTCTTTTTGAGAGCGGGCGCATAGAGTAACGAAAGTAGCTAGATGAAACATGTATACTATTTAATTACCGAAAGCACATGCGAACGTTGGCTTACTCATCTTTAACGCAGTACATTACCTACGAGTACAGCGAGAGTTTCTTATTTACACACTGACACACACACGCGTTCACGCGTTAGTCATAGAAGATGACTATTCCTTCTGTAATTTTGGTGTATAATACACTGGCGTTATATTTTTTCTTCTCATGAGCTGGTGTATCGAGTTGTTAGAGTTAAAATATATACTAATTTAGTACCATAAAGCAGATCACGTATTCCTTTCAGCTACCCAACGCTGGCTCACTTATTTTTGACACAGTACCTTGCCAAGTAATATGTCTATCATTTCTAATCTACATGCATGCTTATAAGTAACGTACCTATAAAATTGCACAGGGTACAGACCATTCGGTTTTCTCTTAACCTTGTACATGAATAATATTATCTTCTTTCATAATGGCTTGAAAACTTGTATCTAGATCCTTGTAGGAAACTTCACCTGAGCTGCAATAAAAACAGTAGTAACTAAACTCTTACCATCGTTTTTTACATTTCTTTTTTGGTCAAGAGCTCTGCCCAAGAATATGGGGGTTTGTATACAAAAACTGATGGTATAGCTTTTTTTGAGGTATAATAGCGACCTCTTTAGAAATAAATTCGTTGTGCATGGTTTTAAAGCCTTGAACATCAACCCCGTACTTCATCATCTTAATGTTGTGACGATTATAAGTTTACTAACCCCTGTATGGGTATAGTAATCTATTTATATACAACTACTAGTCACCGCTATTTATCACTGGTATCGCTTTTTCAGAGGCAAATCAGTGTATAAGAAAAGTTCATGCAGCGTGTCATTTATTTGAGTACTTTAACAGAAGCTGTACACATGATGGATAACTCCGCAAGAATTTGCTAATGCTGATATCGTTAAGGTGACGTAATTTTTTTTAAATATCGTGAATTTAATGTTAACGCTTGTAATATAGCGTTAAATTGATATTTAAATCAAGATATCATTGTTAATAGTAAAATAGTGCTTAAAAGTATTTCAGACTGTCTGCAAAATCCTCATGTCCAGTGGAAAAAAGATATTAATTATTGAGTGTCATTTATCAACATTTTTAGCAGCATTTTATTAAATGGTAAAAATGTGAGGATCAGGAATCGATGAATAATCAGATAATGCAGATGATGATTAGTCTGTTACATGGAAATATATTAACAGTGCTTTTAAAAATCGCATAAGGACAGTTTTTATAAGAAATAATAGGTTGTGAGGGTCGCGATTGTATATAGATATATTCATTGAAAATCACGGTATACTTTTACGATGGAGTTCTTACACGTGACGTCATATATTCATGTATATTAGTGTTTCAGCGATCCACCTTTAAGAAGGATAGAAGGCAATGAGAGCTCGTGGATACAAAGTAGATACAAAGCTGGATTTGTAGTGCCGCTAACATGTATTACGAGATACCTCAGTGGGAGTGTCTAGAAACGTAATCAGATTCACAATGCCCCTGACTCGTGATACACTACGTCCCGGGATTATTTATTTACTGTGTATTAATTTAATTACTCTCTTATGATACCTTTGGGTGTGGTACCTCACCAATGCCTTCGGATCACTTTAGTTCGTACTGCCCTAAAGATCTGTTGGTTCACCAGCTACCTTACCTAGAGGATAGCTCCGGTTTGCACTGCCTCAGAGATCCGCTCATTACCCGAATAACGAGAGACTAACATTACTGGTGACAACAAAACTAGGAGACTGCAATAGCCTCGTCGTCACCCGTTGAAAGATGTGATATAGAAGGCAACAATAAAATGTGTATATATATATAT